TTTTTGCAATCAGGCATTCAATTTTTTTGCGATTGGTTGTCGTTTATTTCTTTCAACCATTTTGAAGTACGTATGAACTCCATGCGACTATTAAATATAGCGTAACGTTGCCAAACGGTGTTTCCAGATTCTGGCGCTGACTTGAATGCCCAGGACACACTAGGCCTTACTCCCCTGCATCGCGCCGTTGCCGCGTTACGTTATGATGTCGCAGAGCTTCTGATAAATAAAGGTGCGTTTTCCATTTCGTTTATGCCGTTTACATTTTGCTTTTGGATTAGTGAGCTGTATGACGCAGCGGTCAAAGATTTTAATCCGTGATCAGCTGCTGCTTCGCTTATAAACGTGTGCTAAGATTTGTCTATAGCCAGCATCTGCTTTCTTAACGGGAGCATTCTGAAATTTTTCAACCCACCAAGAATACCATTTGGTATGAAAGTCTCAATCCAATCTTACCGATAAGCATCATCATCATTGTGGTGTCGCCAACATAAGCGGCGTAATGTAATGGCAAACTGCCGACTGAGTCCGTGCGATTGACATCCACCCCATTATAGATCAACGTCTTCACAGCTGACTCGTTCTTCGTTAAGATCGCCACACCAAGATCATTCTGAACACACAAATTTACTATCGCTCAGCCACAGCTGACGGGAGGTTTCCCAGTGATCTATGAAAACATAACAGGAAACAGCCGCTGTCGCGGGAAGATACCCATGAGCTTGCAAAAGCATTGTTAGTCATAATGAACTTAATTAAAAAGGAATATAGAACATCGCCCACCAACCACGGGATATGATGGATCCGAAAAAAAAAGCAAATGAGAAACTTTCTTCCCTTAACAGCTATAAAATGAAGATATATCCATACGGCTCTTGAATCAAAGTTTCGAAGGAACAGCTAGAAGCAAGTTTACAACACGCTAAGTCATGGAGCGGGGCGCGATCCTGACCCATGCAAGTATACCGGAGCGTATCATTGGTTATTGGTTATTGCTCGCACTATTACACCATGTGTCCACCGTTCGAAAACCATGAATGTGGGTTCGGGTCTAGGCCTAGAGCGTCTTCGAATGTTTCATGAACGAATGAACGTCCTTGTAATACCACAAGTTGCTTATATCTTCCAAGAAACAATTGGCAAACTAGGAACACGCTCTGTACATGGAATATTAACACGCTCTTCGGCTAGTTTTTCCTCTGTCATGAAGATACTGAATAGTGAAAGTACTACTGAACATAAGACTCGGGTTGAGTTTTCGTGGTGATACATGAAGAAATAGGAGCATGCAGCGAAAAGAACTGTGATTAAGAGCAACAGAAAACCAGCTGAAATGGAGAGAACACTACTAGTTCAAAAAGATCTTGTTGAGATTGACTCGAAAAGCGATATAGGGCTATGTTGCGCTCCGATTGGAGGACATTACAGCAGAAGGATTAAAAGAGGTATACATGTTCAGTAAAAATCAAAGAAATAATTAGAAGAATAAAAGAATATATTGAATAAAACGATTCAGCACAAGGGGAGTAGCAAAGAATTTTTCGCGAGCAAAGCGTAAACGTGGAAGATGGCACAGAAACAAGTGGGGACAACTTTTTGGGATTTTAATTCCTAAATTGTTGCCTAATACCACCTATAATCGACTAGGGCAGTTGAAAGTATCAAACAATAGTACACTATCGCATCTACTCTTGCCTTTCGAACCTTTGCGCCTGACGCTTTACTTCCTGAGGAACGAAGGAAGTTAACGCATAAGTGGAACTTATACACACACTCCGAGCCATGACTGAATGCTCAAATGTGTGCCTTGCCATTTGGTCACAACACATTACTGTTTAGCTCTGTTTAATCAGAACTCCAAAAGAAACAATTGAACCAAAAAATGCAAATATACGTGGAGGTGCAGAGATAATCCCTGGAAGAAAAAAAGAAGCATTTTAAAAGAGAGAATGTGAACGTTCGACGGCTTGAACAAGACCTACGACGTCTTCACTTAACGTGGTGAAAGTTTCACTGATAACATACATGGAAATGAGATTTGGATTTCAAAAATTCGAAAAGAAATGGACGTAGGTATTGATAAGGGGCATATAAAATAACCAGTAAAATTAATATTAATATCAACGAAACTCAACAATAAGAAACACACTTCTAATGATGACGCTGTCATTCTGCTACTGCTTGGTAGACCCTGAGGAACGACCGAGGATATCGATCCGTTTCGATTGGGATCGTTCTTCACGCCGCGATCTAAAAGCATTAATCAGCAGCGTCTCCGAAAAAACGTGTTCTGAGGAGTGACACACTAGTGGACAAATCCTATCACAAATTTTTCCAAGTCGCTCATTTGCTCAAAAACGTCACAGTATGATCAACTAAAATTTATATTATGACAAAATGGACCTTATACTCTCATTAATGATTCATAAAAACGAAAAAAAAACAAAATAAATAAGTTGCCATTAGAATTATACAATAAACACCTTTAGTAGTAGATGTAATAACTCTCGTGAAATTTGAATTAGCGGCCAAACTGCTCAGCCACCGACTTTGGCACGGAGTAACACTCGTTCTCAGCTATGTTATACTTACAGATGTAATCTCGCGCTAATCTCCGTTGCTTACCGATCTCCCTATAACAATGATCGATTGAAGCAGCTCTATGAAAAAGGACCCCGAGTATATTTGGGCCCAGCACGAAGCCGTCATAGCCTTTTCAGCATCACGCATGGGGTGAACATAGTGAACTTCTCGTAAAGCTCAAAACAAGCTAAAATAATCTCATAGACATTCACATCAGAATCGTTAATGCTGGTACCTCAACGTTGAACAACGTTCAACGCACAACGTTGAACGAATGAGACGTGGTTGTATTTCGTGGGAAGGGGATAAGTTACCCACGCATCAACGACCTTGAGCACTTTGACCGTTCTAGCCTAACCCTGCACTGTTCCTTCTTTTTTAGTGATTCCATGAAACTTCCTGGGTCATTAATGTCAAATAATGGACACCGGTCACC